TAATAATAGAACTAAATAAATAACTTACCAGCTATAAAATAAGTTAGTTTAAATTATATGTAAATATTATAATAATAAGTAATAATAGAATTAAATAAATAACTTATAACTTACCAACTAAATTAAATTACAAAATAATTTTTTAAATAAAGAAATTAGTTAAATTATATAAATAATATAGATATAGATATCATATAATTTACACCCTGTAGTATTATTAATTATTAATTAGTTAGATATAAAGATAATATAGAAGTATTTACTGTAAATTATATATATTACTTACAATCTAGTTATTTAAATTAAAATATAATTAGTTGAATTATGTATAATATTAAATAAATAAATATAATATATATATTATTGTAACTTACCATCTGTAATATAATTAATTATTAAATAGTTATTTAAACAAAAAATTTGGTTATTTGAATGTTATGTAGAATAAATAAAGTAAAGGACTAAAGATTTAAATGACTGATGACTTACCAACTACAGTATTATTAACCATTAAATAAATTATTTAGTTATATGGAATACAATAAAAATAATGAGTAATTCATTTTATTCAATTATATTAACTAACTTACGAGCTAGATATTTAACATAATATTTATATAATATAGTTAGATTGTAGTATTTGAATTGTTTATAAATAAAAACTTAATATTTCAGCTTGTTTGATATACCTTTAGATTCCTTGGTGTTACTTCCTTCAAATTCCTTAATACTACTACTTTCAAATTCTCCAGTGCCATTTTCTTCAAATTCTTCAATATTACTGGAAACTAGTTTTTGTTATATTGTAAATTTGGTTTAATAATTTTGAATAATTCTAATTTATATTATTATTCATGTTATATGCTTTACCTTTACCAATACATTGGTCCATTGCTATATCAAAATTTTCCCTAGTTGAAAAAAAGTAAATATCTTTTTTTATATTATTATTATTACTAAACGCCTTCAGTTTATTAGTAATGAATAAATATGGTAATAATATTTATGCAAAATGCATAATGTGCAAAAACGTTGATCACAAGTACAAGCATTTGCATAATTGCATATATGACAAACAAATTTTGCACAACTATCAATTATTACAAAACCGCAGTAACTGGTTAATGATTTTCCCAGAAAAAAATGTCACGTAAAATCACGTGACATTTTTTACACCGGCGTCACACCCTTCTTTTGTTTCCATTTTTCATAAGTATTTGATTGTTGTCTCATTGTTTTCTTATTATGTAAATATATATGAAATAAAAACCTTAATTTATGATTTGCAAACCTTTCCACCATTAAAAAGTTTTGAAATAAAATATAAAGTTATATAAAAAAAAAAGCACTCCAGTTAAAGTGCATATTACCAATATAAGCCTGGCTAATTTTTGCAATTTCCATCAGCAAAATTTTGCTCCACATTACACTAATCATTTTATGTCACTGATCGGTAAAATGAATTGTTTATTATAAGTTTTTTGTATAAAAAATACTTATTTAAATTTACAACTAATGATTACTATTAAATACAAGAAAAAAATCAAAATGTAGATCGGTCATGTAAATTTAGTTCGGTTGATCAAAATCACAGGACTCAGCATAGTTAACTCAGTCCGATGGTAGCGAAGTCCGATCAAAGTTTAAATTCGGTCTGCATCAAAATTCACATGACTGTGCTAAAAATTGAGATGACTGGACTCAGAAAGATCATTGGACTGGGCTCAGTAAAGATATACGCTGCAAAACTGTATATAATAGACGCTAGTTTATCAGTTTTTGAGATTAATTACATAATAGAATAATTATTTTTATTTTGGTCGTTTCTTTTAATTATTTATTTCAAATATTATTTACAGTAGTAAAGAATAATATTTTAAGACCATTATTAAATTTGAGTTGAAAATTGTTAAATATATTATTTTTTATACTAGAAACTTTGAAATAAGAGGATTGTATGGTCTTCAAGTCTCATAAGAGTACTTGATCCCTTGGATTGGAGGCTTGGATTGCGAAGTTAAACTATTAGAATGGCTATGAACCTAAATTTCCTTTTTTCTTTGTATTGGTCAATTGCTTTATTTATAATTATAATCAAAAGTCTTTATAATAATAATAATTTTTGCATTTTAATAAAAACTTCGTTTGTATTTATATAGGATACGTTGAAAACTTAAACCGGAATTGAGATTTATAGTATTATGATCGCTTCCAATGACTAAAAGTTGAATGGCGACGAAGATTTCCAGCAACAAAATAATTTTATACGATTATTAGGTTTGCGCAGAAATTACTGCACCTATAATTTTTTATCATAAATATTTTTAAATAAAATTTTTTTTATTTTTATAACAACTCAAATAACTACTTTATAAAGTAGAACTTATCCCAACCCTGATCGACATGATAATACGTAATAGAACTACATACTGTACAATAATATATGATGGTGAATTATAGTGATTAAAAAAACGTCAACGAAAATATTTACGTTCATTTATGTGACAATAACAGAAGAAAAATTAAATTGGCAATAAGTAAAGTAAAGACAGGTAAAACACTGGGTTCAAGCGGTATAACGTATGACTTTTGGAAAAAGTCAAAAAAAGAGACAAGAATTTTTATAATAACAATTATGAATAAAATAATGAGATAGGATACAAAAATGAAAAGAAATTATAATTTTTCCAATTAAAAAGAAAGAATGGGTTAGTTTGACAATACCCGATTACATTGATAGAAGTAACCAGGAAATTAATGATCAAAATCTTAACGGAACGCTTGAGTATAATACTAAGTAATATAATGCATTTAAGATTAATAACTTTGCAGATTTGAAAAACTAAAGTACATTTGAACCAATTAAAATATTTCAAAATATAATCGAGCATGCAAATCAGTACCATAAAGAAGCATGGTCGTTATTATTAGATATTAGTAAAGCTTATGATTATGTGAATGTTACTTTCTGGAATTAGGTTTAAAGCGTTGTAAGTTACCAAACAAATTCATAGATTAATAATAGATATATGCGAGATAGACATAGTAGAGTCTTAGTGAATGGTGAGCTTTCGGAAGCATATTATATTGAAGATGGGATCGATCAAGGGGAGGCGTGGTCGCCCATAATAATTATGGAGAATGTTTTACAATCCATTATTAACAAAGTTGGAATCAGTACGATTAAATACGGAATATGAATTGGATTATGCAAAAATAAGTTTACAACAAAATTTAGCAGAGAAGAAAAAATACAACAATGTATAATGCGATTGCATTCATGGAAGACACAACGCTTATAGCAAAAGATGAAAACTTGATTAAATATCTATTAGATATTTGTCACAGCTTTTATAAAATGTGCGATATTAAAGCTAACGTGAAGAAATATGAATTAATAAGAATTAATAATCCTGACGGGGATCACAAATACTTCAAAATTTATGAGAATAGGATAACGAAAATACAGTAGTGGCGGAAAATAATGATAAAATCACGTGATTTGATCAGCATTTCCTTTTTTTACGTAATTTTTAATAAATAATTAAAAAGTGAATATATATTTAACCAGTACGGTACGGTTGATCAATTTTTGTGATAATCATTCCGTACCGTACCGTACTGGCTCTATAATAATCTCTCTATATATAGAACCAGTACAGTACGGTACGGTTATTGTTTTAAATGGACATTTTGGACATTAGTGTCCGAATTATCAAAATGGACATTTTGGACATTGGTGTCCAAATTATCAAAATGAAAATTTTGGACATTAGCGTCCGAATTATCAAAATGGACATTTTGGACATAGGTGTACAAATTATTAAAATGGACACTGGTGTCCAATTAATTATATGCTAAATGTACCGTACTGATTTTCTCTTTATTATAGTGTCAGTACGGACGGTACGGTCATGTTTTGATCAAATTTTGTAATTTTGTTTGGGTGATCAACCGTACCGTACAGGTTTGCAATTTCGTACCGTACCGATTATCCTACAACCTATAAAAAGTCAGGAGATCAGCTAAAAAAAAATTTTTTTATCCATCTTTTTTTTTAATAATGCCGGAATTGATGAAAAAACGTTCATTTGTAGGCAATTTGTGAGCCAATGGAATCTGTAATATACCTGAATTACATAAAATAACACATATTTCGAAGTCTACTTTATATAGATATGTCCAAAAACTCAAAAGTTCCGGTACTATTAAATCAAAACCACGTCCGGGAAGGCCCAAACTCTTATCCCCAAAAAAATGTATTCAACTCGGAAAATTAGCCAGGAGAGCTTTTTCGCGATATTTTAACTAAAAATCTTTTTTCTAATGCTACAAGGATACTTGGGAGAAGGTGGACATTCCAACAGGACAATGACCCTAAGCATAGGGCAAAGTTGACAACAATTCTTCTTCAAGAAAGGTGTCCACGTATGTTGGATTGGCCATCCTATTCTCCCGACCTTAACCCCATAGAAAATCTATGGGCAATAATGAAGAAAAAGGTAGAAAAGAGGGTAAATCAACATATTGCACAAAAAAACCCGGTTGGATTAGATGATTTTTTGTCAATTATTCGGTCAGAATGGGATAATCTTAGTCCAGACTCTTATCGAAATTATGTGCAGGCATGAAAAAACGTTTAGAAGAAGTTATTGAAAAGGAGGGACGTATAATTAATCATTAAAATTTTAGTTTTATTAACTTGTGGTATTATACTATATGTCATTAAAATTTTAAGTAAATAAAATAAAAATTGGCCGAAAATTTTATAACTTTAAAATTATCATTATTTTTCGCTACTACTGTGAAGGAAATAGTTTTTGGGAATCTTTTTGTCATATAAAGATGACAGAAAAGTATACGTTAGGAAAGTTACTATGATGGTAGAGGGATTCTGTGCACAAACAAGATGGAGTAAGTTGACGGACAAAATTTTGATATCATTATGGAATGCAGTTATGATTCCGGCAATTGAGTATCATTTGCAAGCAGTGGTCTTAATGGAAAGAGAATGCGAAAATATTTTGGCGAAAGTAAATAAAATATTTAAACATAGCTGTAATCTGGCAATAGGTTGTCCTAACGCCATAATTTACGATAAGGATATATTAAAGGTAAAAAACATTTATGCACTGAACTAGAAAGTTTGTCTAAGAATATAATATAATGTGTTACATTAATGGTCGAAGGATCGAAAAAAAATTATTTTTAAGATGAACATGATAAATTTACAAAATACATATTGGACAGCAAAATGCGTTGGAGAAAGTAAAAATGTGAATTTCAAAAGGGTGGATCACAGTTACGCGAATGATAGTCTAAAAATGCTAAAAGACAACAGAATATCTATTTGCGATCATGAATTAATAAATGATAATTATAAAGATCATAGATATTCGGGGGACTTTATGAATTAGTTGACATCTTTAGTGAAAAAGTATACAATAAATGGAAAATGCAGTTAATGAATAAGAAGATTTTGTTTTTAGATCAAATCATAGAACACGATAAGGAGTATTTAATGAAGTGGCATCATTTTTGCGTGGAAAATGGATTTAATAAGTGTGGCGGTGAACCTCTTTGGTATAAACGGTTGAAACAACTTGTATGTATAGAGGAGACACGAGAGATCAAAGATAAATATAAAATTAATAAGGCGGAACAGAAATCAATAGATTATTTTAAAAAAAATGATACAGTTTCTAAGAAAAGTGATAGATTGATTACGTGGAACGAAACAGTGGAGTGAAGTTTTGTAAATATAAATGAAAATTGAAGAGTAAAGAATTTAATAGTATAGGTATTCATTATATGATGGAGGATTCAGAAGTTTACGACGATAATGATTCTCCTTGGTTAAAAAAGTGCACGGGATGTAGTAAGAATATTTCTAGAAATAAAGATGATGATATTTGTTTATTACATTGTAATATTGGGGATGGATTAAGTAGAGAAATTAAAGTAAGGAAAATAATTTATTAAAGGGGGAAAAGGTATTAAACCATATGAGAGTATATTTAATATTATAGATAAATAATATTTTAATTAACAACAAAGATAAAGAAGTAAATGAAGTCAAAAGAACGGGTATGGAAGATATAGAAGAGACGGATTTTTTTGATATGGTTAGATTATATTTGTACAAACAAAGAGAATTATTGATAAATTGACGATCACGGCAGCATCTATTTTTTTAAATATTATTAGTAATATAGACGGGAAAAGACAAACTT